GGTTCAAACCCACCAGCCACTCCTTGGAAGGAAGGTTGGGCAATCTACTTCCATAGAAATATCGCCTCGGAAAGCCAAGGAGGGGTTGCTATGAGTCGAATCAACTTGATAAGGCAGTGACATTTATGGCAATACAAATTAGAAATGAAAATCACAGTTTGCCTTAGAAGTAACCAAGTCTGTATATTACGCATGCTGCAAATTACTGTGGTTATTTGAACTTGGAAAATTGCTTAGGCTGTCTTTTTTTGTGAGAGCTCTGGTAGCATAGTGCCTAAGGCATTTCACTGATAGCCAGAAGGCTGGCGGTTCAAACCCACCAGTCACTCCTCGGAAGGAAGGTTGGGCAATCTACTTCCATAGTGATACTGCCTCAGAAACCCAAGGAGGGGTTTTTATGAGTCAGATCCGACTCCACAGCAGTGGTTGTGTTTGTGTTTTTGGGTTTTTTTTTTTTTCCCTGTAAATGGTTTTGACCTCACTTATTGCTTATGTTACAGATTTTTTTTTTTAACAAATTAATTCTTCAAGGGTCAACGTGGAGATTATTTTAAAAAGAAATTCAGTTAACATTAAAAACAAGTAAAATATTCATTATTTTTGAGACTTAAGCAGAAAAACATCTTTCCTCAGGAGAATTAACCAGGTAAATAGTGCTCCCTTGAGAGAACTTCATGAGATAAAAATGAGAAGTGTCTTCTGTGTGTTTCCTACTACTGATGTAATCTGGCTTCAAGGAGCAATCTCTGTATTCCTGATCCTTGCAGGGTTATTTCTGTAAGAGCAGAATTAAATTTAAGAATCATCAATATTAATACCAGTGTTCTTATATTTTGTGTAGCGTAGGAGAACCATCTGCCGTGTTTTGGTTGTTTCACCATGCTTAAGTCTACAAAATTCTCATATTGTAATACAGATTTCTCAGTAACATTAAGTGGATGGCAGTTCTTGCCTATATGGAAAGCAAAGGATATGCTTTTGTTATTAGAAGACAGTGCTGCCTTATACTTTACTTTTTCAAATTGAGGCATAATTTGCATACAACAAAATTCACCAATTTTAAGTGTACAAGTTGATGAGTTTTAACAAATTTATACATAAGGTAGCTGTGATTAGGAGTCAACTCAGTGACAACTAATATCAACAACAGTTGTGCAACCACCATCACTGCAGACATTTACCTCAGGCTTCATAGTAGAACTGTGCTCCTAAGGTTTTCAAGGACTAATTTTTTGGAAATAGATAGCATAGGCTTTTGTTCTGAGATACCTCTGGGTGAACTTGAACCTTTAATCTCATACTGGTGACTACCCATATCATAAAACACGTTTTTTTAGGTATTGTGGGAGTATATGTGGGACACCTATTTTTGCAGAGCATTTTAATTTTAATGAAATACATTTCTTTTTTGAATCATGCTTTTGGTGTCTTGTCTAACAACTTTGTGTAACCTCAGGTTATGAAGATTTTCCTCAGTGTTTTCTTCTAGAAGTTTGATTATTTTGCATCTTGGATTTATCCATTTTGAGTTTATTTTTGTATAAGGTGTGGGATTTTGGTAGAGGTTCATTTTTTTGCCTACGGATGTCCAATTGTAATAAAACACCATTTGTTTGAGAGACTAGCTTTTCTTTGTAGAATTGTCTTTGCACCTCTGTTAAAAATCAATTGGCCATGTATGTGTGGCTCTATTTCTGAATTCTCTGTTTTGTTCCATAC